AATTGATTTATATATATTTTTTCTAGCAATTTATATGTATAAATTCTGTTTTTCGTTTTATCATTATTTAAAAAATCATTTCAAGAGTTGAAATGGAAAGTGATATTGTTTTCATATTTGTCAAGATGACTTTTGTCACTTATGGGTTATTTGACATAGTTTTTAATAAAAGTTTTGGTAAATTTTATAAAAGTTGATGAAATATATGGTTCAAAAGTTGAGCAAGAATGTTCACAATGTGGTTAAATTTAGTTGTTGAGAAACGGATGATGGAGGGAATAGCATCCAAACCTATGTAAATAATAATGCTATCTCTTTAGACATTGGATGTGATAACAAAAGTAGCGATTACCCCCACCCCTAAGTGCCGAGCAATTTAAATGGTGATTGGTAGCTGTCATACCTCATAATTCATTACTGGAGATTTAGGTTGGAAACCACTTTATCACTGGGATGTCAAAAATACTCGCCAAATCCGATACTCGCAAGGATTACCCTTAATTGGGTAATCGGGTAGGTATGGGACGAAAAATTTCGTTTGGAGGTGGATAGGGTAACAAGGACTCCGTCCCCGCCCCTGCCCCATTTATTTTTATTATTTTTATTTTTTTTTTAATAAAAAATTCAATACTTTAAATGGAGAAATTACCACAAAATTTTATTAATTCTAATAGAAAATGGCAACTAGGAGTATTTAAAAAGTATGATAAACAATAAAAACTTTAATTTACCAAATATACTCGAATGATTTAACTTTTAAAAATAAATAAATTAATTAAAAAATTTAATAACTATATTATTGTCTCTCTTGAATGAATGGAGTGAATAAAATGAATTATAAAAAACTATGTAAAAAAACTTAAACGAATACATAAACGGGGCAACTGCCCCGCCCTAAACGAGTAACGAGGGGGGTACGGGACGAGGAAATGCCCGGTGGGACAGCGGGCAGGGCGGGTGCCGTTGCCAACCATATTTATGACCTTGTTCTATAAATAAAAACCAACTACGAGTCCTCCAACCAGTCGTCACCAGACCTTTGCAGTTTAGTTCTAGCTCAAGTAGCATCATTGGATGATTATGCCTAATGGTTGAGGCGATTACAATAGTGTTTCACAATAACTCTGAAAATGTAGGAGAGTGAGAAATGTCGTGGAACCCTCACCTCCACAACACGAGAATATATTGGAAAATGTTAGGATCTTCCTCAAGCTGCTCAAGATGATTTCCGGGCTCAATTAACCTTTAAAACACCGAATCAACACCAAAATCGAAGGTACCCACCGCCGACCTCACGAGTTCTACCTATGGTTGCTTTTCTTCCTTCTGCTTGTTATTTGCTCACTCACAAAGAATGAATACCACACAGGTAAGGGTCACAAAGACACAAGCAAGAGGTAGACAAGATCAAGGAGTAGAATGCATGAAGAAGAAGAAGACACGGCCTCTCTCTCTCTCGGGTTCTTTCACAAAAACGGGACCAAGGAAGGCTACGAGAGTTACCAATGTATATAGTAAACCAATGACAAATAATAAGGTAAGTTATACATATGGTAAGTGGGCTCGACTAGGGTTATGGCCCAATAGCACACCAACAAGCCACAAAGGTTTATTAGCCATCCAATAGGTAAAACAACGTTAAGTCGGGTCATCCCATTATTCGGTATTGATTTATCGTTCAATCATTCATTTCGACTGATAAAACTGATTTACATCATCGCCCGGGAGGTCGTTTGACAACATGATGTCTAACAGAAAATAATCGTACTTTATAAAGCATATTCTCCTCGTCGCCTTGTCAACATAAACAAAAATATTATTTTATACAGAAAATGAGATTCATATAAAATTTCAGTCGATACATTTGCAAGAAATTAGCTAGTTTGATGTTAAAAACTATGAACCAATCTTAGATCGTGTTTGGAGGGGATTAAAATCAGATTTTTAATAGATTTTGATAAAAGTTGATTAAATATATAGTTAAAAAGTTGTGAATACTATAAAATATGTGGTTAAAATTAATTGTTGATTTTGACTTAAATTAAAATCTAGATTTTAATTCTTACCAAACATGATTGATAGTGATTTGGTTATATAAAATAAACCATTGTTTGGGAGGACGATGACAAATATCTAAAAATTGATTCAAACGCAGGAATGGAAATTAAAGATCACAGAGTCAATTGGATGAAATTAGAAAACAAATGAATAAATTTGCACAAGAAAATATTCCAAGATAAAAATGGAAGAGAAGTTAGGGACCAACTTGCAATTTATCCCAAAAAGGAAGCGTACGATTGCATGCTGTGAAGACTTGTGTTTGAAACACACCTTTCACAAATAGCAACGGCCAGAAACAGTCATTGTTTGCGATCATTGCCCATTTTGTGGTGGTGAGATTGCACAGTATTAATTTAGCAGACAATGGCAATTTTTTTCTTTGACTGAAACTCCTTATGACGACCATCTTGGATGCGATTTGGACCCAATTTTAGTCGCTATAAGTAGAGAACATCATCAAACATTATAAGATACCTTTCATATCATATCATACAATACATTAAATCTTGCAATCAAGGGGGACCAAACTATCATTCTCTTGGCAAAAATCAAGAGGCAGGATACAAGAATTTCATCATTTGAATATTCATCTTGGCTTTTAGCCAAAAAAGAGGAATGTTCAGCTGAAGACTAACCAAGGAAGAAAGATTGAAAAGATTCAAAATTTCGTTATTTCTCCTCTTTTTCTTCACATATCTCATATTCGGTGATGTCTTATAAACCAAACACGAATACTTGTAATTTTGTAATGTTAGGCTAGATTTTTGATAGCTAAAACATAGATGAACATTTGTTATGAAGTGTTAATATAATTTTCACTTGTGTTTTTATTCTTCGATGATTGTTATACGGTTTAATGCTTTTTAATTATTGATCAATAATGAGATTGATGTATGATTTTTAATGGTATCCACAGAAATAATAATAAAGATAACACATTATAACAATTGTTGTGAGGTCCGATAAAGAGTAGAAATATACTGCTATACCTTGCGTTATTTTAATAGGTATTATTACATCTTAATTCATGCTTTCATATTCGTATCTTTTATAAAGATATAGAAAGATCATATGAGATGATATATTTAATTCTACTTGAGAACTTATTAAATAAATTAGAAATATTGATCACTAGAATGAATAATTATTATCACGGTATTGAATTGTATTAAAATGGATTAATTTTGGGGTTTCAAAATTTTAGTGCGTATTTTAATCAAACTTACAAGCTTCTTAATTGCTCATTAGTTAATTTAATTAGATAATTAGTAGAAATTCACAAACACAACTTCACTAATTGATTTAGCATTAATTATAATTAGATTAAGTACATAATTTCGATACTCTATTCGTCATTATAGTACTTGTCTACGATACCTTGCACTTGCGGGGTTTCGTCGATCAACAATCTCCTCTCTTATCCCGTGAACGTAAATTTACTGCAATAACGTCGAATGACGTAAATTGTCATATTCTTCTTGTTAGTTTTATTCATTATTGAATTCTTTGACAACCAATCTAATAATTTACAAGATTGTGAGGATAGCACTTTCATTTTAATTTTATTAACGATTAAAAAACTAGACGGGTTGATGAATTATTATTATTATTATTATTATTATTATTATTATTATTATTATTATTATTATTATTATTATTATTTTGGAGTTTTCAACCTCCAATATAAAACATATTCTCCTCATCGCCTTGTCAACATAAACAAAATTATTATTTTATACAGAAAATGAGATATTTATAAAATTTCAGTCGATACATTTGAATGAAATTAGCTAGTTTGATGTTAATAACTATGAACCTATCTTAGCTCGGAGGGGATTAAAATTAGATTTTTAATAGATTTTGATAAAAGTTGATTAAATGTGTAGTGAAAAAGTTGTGAATACTATAAAATATATGGTTAAAATTAATTGTTGATTTTGACTTAAATTAAAATATAAATTTTAATTCTTACCAAACATGAATGAAATTGATTTGGATATATAAAATAAGCCATTGTTTGGGCTCCAATTTAACGAGATTTGGAAAAAAATGTACTTTGGAATATTAATTTTTTTAAAGAATGTGTGATTTAAAAGAATAAAAAAATTTGAATTTACGTATAATATTATTTTATTGAGAAATTTATGGTTAAAAAGAGGAAAGAAAAAAATGTATTAAAATTAAAATGGAGCTGCAAACAGAGGCTAAGAACTATAACTCAAGGAACTTAAGACTTAGTGTTGATTCAACACATAACAGGCTCCTACTTGACAAAGAATTATTATTATTTTTTTAAACTAATCATTTTTTTTAATCATACATTTCATTGGACTCACAATTTTTATTTACTTTTTAACTATACATTTTATGGAACCTTCTAGCTTATAATTTCAAAAAGTTTGATTAAACTTTTTAAAGATTATAAGTTGATCAAACTTTATTTTTAACGACATATTTCATTGGATTCACAATATTTATCTATTTCTTAACCGCATATTTCATTAGATTGGGCCATTTTACACTCCAAACTATTAATAGACCTAACTTGAATAGACCTGAGTCGATTTTTAGATTGGCCTCATCTCAACCCAAAAATCAAATTGATTGGACCCGAATCGCTCGTCGATTTTAACTAATGTCAGGTCAATTTTAAGATGAGATTTCACCCAATCAAGAAGTTGACCCCGTGGTTACCTCTCCATTTTAATGAGACCCATGAGCTTATATTCAAAGACTTTGTCAAGCATAGGCCAAGCGATTCGTCAAGTAGCATAGAATTTGATTACTAGTAAGGAAAGAGAAAGTTATTAATATACAAAAAAATAAAAAATATAAAAACACCTTTTTATATTAGCCAAATACGTATTAAATGAAGATTTAAATTTAACTTCATTTATTTTCTACTTTAATAAAAAAAGAAGCAATAATGAAAAGGAGATAACTTCGTTAAAACATGAAACAAGTGCCCCAATAAATGGGAGATTACGGGCCTTTGTTCATCCATTGGTTCGTGCACACTGTACTGTGACACATACACAACTTCTTGATAAGCTTGCAATTGAAGGTCAATTCGATCCTGCACTTTCTCTCACCGCATAAGCAAGAAATAATCTGGGGTTTCTTTTCAATTTCTGGGATTTTTTGAAAGTGACTTTTTTTTAATTGAATCTTGATGGTTTTTTGAAGATAAATATGGAGGCAGAGTTCATAAGTAGACATCACAAGCACCAGCCTAAAGGGAACCAGTGTTCTTCTTCTGTTGTCAAGCACATCAAAGCCCCTGTAGATATTGTAATCTTTCTTTCTATCTCTATTTATATCTGTGTGTATTTATTCAGATTTTTCTTGTGACTCTGTTAGTTAAGAGTGTTTAATTTTGGATTTCATATGGATTATGGGTCTTCTTTTTTATTTTTTTTTTTTCTTTTAAATGAATTTGCGTTTTCTTGTTTCTTCTTGAGTTTTGTGCTTTCCTTTATGATGATACAAAATGCGAAGAAAGAAATTAAAAATATGATCATTTTCAGATTTTTTTATCGTTCTTTAAAAAATGAGGGTATTGATTTGATAATCTCGATGCTGATGTCAAAATCAATTTTGATCTGATGATCTCTAGCTTGAATTTGAGTTATAAAAGTTTTGAGTATTGCTTCATCTTTATTTCTTCTCTTGAGATTATGTGTGAAAGAACTGAAAGTCTTGAAAAGATCTTTGTTTTCCCTTTTTGTTGGAAATAGAATTGCTTAAAAATCAAAGGTTCGATTGCTGAGATTTGAGAAAGAGATTAATAATGGCAACTTATTGTACTGATGTCCTTCCTGATTCAGTTTCAGGTCAAACTCTTATAAATTAGGTAGGGAAACAATGCAGAAATGATGCTCTCCAAAGAATTTAAAGTTATAATCCTTCTTCCATCTTTTGTGTTTTTCTTTTACAATGTCATAATCGTGTTTGATTTTGTGGAGCTTAATAATACCGCACTTTTATACTGCACTTTTATCCTTTCGATCACATATGTCTCGATTTATGGGAGTATATACTGCACTTTTATCCTTTTGATCACATATGTCTCGATTTATGGGAGTATATTGGACATTCATACATATATTTGGTCGTCCAAATAATCCTAAACTGGCTAAAGTTTTTATTAGGAGACCCTTTTTGAGTGCAAGAAAGGCCTGTGGAAGAACTTGTATTCTTCTCGTGAAAAATTGAGGATGTAACTCTCACATTTAGAGTGTACTGTCAAATCTGTGCGTGCTTTGCTCGTCTTTATTGTTTTTCTCATTACTATTACTTTCAAAAGTATGAATTAGTGGATAATCTATACCAATCCAAAGTCGGACTTGTTTGAGCTTTTTTAGGTTTGGTCTTTGGTGAGGGGATTTGATCAACCACAGAAGTACAAGCCCTTTATCAGCAGGTGCTACACTCAGGGTGATCTGAAGATTGGAAGTGTTCGAGAAGTGAACGTCAAGTCAGGACTTCCTGCCACGACCAGCACTGAGAGGTTGGAAATGCTCGATGACAACGAGCACATACTTGGGATCAAAATTGTTGGTGGTGATCACAGGCTAAAGGTACGGATTTTTTAGCCATTCTTATGTAGTATGTTCTGTTTCTTGAGGTAACATTTGAATTATGAAATCAGTAATGCCTGACTCGAATACTGACTAAAATTAATTAACACAATAGGTTGGGAGAGTAATAGCGTTTTTAACCTCTTTTGCTTCTCCCTCTATATTTGTGAATGGCCCTGCATTATGAGAACTCAAATTTCAGCTGTTATAATAAATTTTGGTGGTTCTTCATCTGAAATCATTCTTATAATTGTGATACTTGTTGTATTATTTCCAGGTTTTGATTGGTTTCAAATAAATTGAATTAATTTTATCAATTTAATTAAATTTCTCTAGCAAATCTCTCTTTGTTATCTGTTAATTAAACGAATGAACTTGGGATTTCAATTTTCTTAGAATTTATTTCCCTTGTGTTTTCTGTCTTGCCATTTAAATACCTTTGGATGGTTTATAGGAATACTTAAAGTGGCTAAACATCTTTATATGAATTAATCTACTTGTACAATTGTCGTTGACAATAATAGATAACAACATTGATGTTGTCAATATTTGATCCATTAATTTTAAAAACAGTTTTTGAAATGGATGAATGTGATGTTGACAAGTATGACTGTCAACAAATATTGTAAGAAATGATTGTATAAGTAGCATGATTGTCTTTATATAACTTATGTCATTTTTTCTAATATTCAAGTAAAAAAATTTTAATTTTTTAAAGTAACTATTACGTTATTGTCAAAATAAGTTTAACTTATTCGTAACGTTCATCAATAGAAAAAAATATTTAGTCTCTCCTTCTTTGAGGATAACTTAAATCAATTAAAAACTGCTTTTATCCTGTTGATTTTGCAGAATTACTCTTCAATAATTACTGTTCATCCCGAGATAATTGATGGGAAACCCGGAACTTTAGTCATTGAATCTTTTGTGGTTGATGTGCCTGAAGGAAACACTCAAGAAGAGACATGCTACTTTGTGAATGCACTGATCAACTGCAACCTCAAGTCTTTGGCTGACGTTTCACAGCGAATGGCAATGCAGGATTCAATTAAACCCATCAACCGATTCTGAATTTGCATCAACCGCAAACTCCTTTAAACGTAAATGGTATGTCTTCACTTTGTATTATATACTAGCTTCTTATCATATGGAGGGTGAGAATGTGTATTGATATCCATAACTAGTTATGTGATAAAGAAAAGTGCTGGATTTCACTGCTTGGTTTCTTCGAGTGTGTGGGCGCCAAATCTTGTTTGAGAGAATTGTTACAAACCCCTGTATATTTTCCCATGGTGGTGTTGCTTATATATATTATCATATTTCTATACATTACCTCTCCCATTTCCTACGAGTTGCTTCTAACTTGACTAAAGTTTTATGGTGCTGTTTTTCGTGGTGCTTTATTCCCGCTCTGTCTAGAGGAGAGTACAAAGATCATGTCATGATAGAACTTGACAGTGTTGATATGATGCAGCGGAATTAAACAAAATTTACTCAACATGCGCAATGGAATTAAAAAAAAATTTCAATTCCCACAAAAAAATCATTTTTTGTTTTTAGAGAGAGATCGTGATTAGAGAATTATACATTGGATGAATTATTTGAAGAACACTTCTGACCTGTAATCTACAATTGTCCAATTATCCAACATTCAATAGAAATTCACATAGGGAACAAGATAAAGAGAACTATAATTTTTTTCTTGTGCTAGCAAGAATGTGAATTGTGTATTCTTTACATATTTTTAAAATTTCGGCAACTTATGAATATAAGTTCAAGTGGACTTGGTTCGTCTCTTAAATTTAACTCGGTCCAATATTTAATTAATCCAATTAATTAAACTTGGTTCATGAATTAATTAATCCACTTAATTAATTTGGGTCTATTAATAAGCAATCCAATTAATTAATTATCCAACACTTGTTAATTAATTAATCGATGAATCTCATTATTCTAATTCTCCTTTTGCATGTGATCTTTTAGATTCCCGATCATGATATCTAACGATGTAAATTATTATTTTGATATAATCAAAATCAATAAATTAAAATATCCAATTTCAATTTATCATCAATTCACACATATCGTCCCAAATTGACAGCATGTGTCCGGATAGTGCATGTGACGGAAAATGTCAGGTGATATGATAAAATCAAATTTGTTCGTTTTTCGTAAAAATATAATCATTTTGTCAATATGATTTGATCAATTATGAGATATGGATATGTGTTAATCCCAATTATCGATCATATCTTTCATTTCATTATTAAATCAATATAAGTCAAAAACTCATTTTCGATTATGAGCATACATTGACTTATGATTTCGTTATCAACTTAATTGAATGAAATATAGATTATAATCTTTTACTATCTAAGAGTGACGAATTCTTTATTGATCACTCACGTCATTCATATGATTCTTGACATACACAAACGATGTCGTATTAGCGGCTCTTGACAGAGCAACATCTAACATAACCATTAAATGACGGTTCTTATAGAAGGCACTATGATGATTTCATGTCAAAATACTAATCCTACCATCGAACGTTAGAGATTAACCACTGACACTTAGATAATTATTCATATGGAATCTTCCCTAATATTTTGTTATAGAACAAAATATCAACGTGTTCATTTAAGTGTCACCATACTTTAGTTTGTGATATAAGCTACTTACTTTTCAAGTAAGAAATGTCACACATGATTGTCTATCCGTTATAATGACATCCATATCTCATTATTACTTCCGACCATTGATGATTTAAGTTCGGTCATATGTAATTTGTATCTTGCAATCACAACTCTTTTGTGCTTAATTACTAAGATTTGAATTCATGGACTCTTTTACTTAATTTAATTGAATATTAATTAAGTAATAAATCGATGGTAAATTTGTATCAATTATATATTAAAAGTGTGTATGTTCAAAATTGATTTGATTTAGGGTATAACATTTACAAACTCCCATGTGTACTAGATCCAATAAGTTATGCATCTAATATCATAAAAGTTTACATGACAATCATATTTATATTGTGACAACTTTTTGTCAATAGATCTGTAGTATATTCAATTGTGGAAATTCGTTCTTTCTTTACGTCATTTCTGTGTATTATCTCTTTAATGAGATGATATCACTTTAATACATCTTTGTCAACAATTCCTTCATTTGTACGATATCTCCATTGTTATCACAATGCAGAAGTTTGTGATCAACAATATTAAGAACTACTTCAAGTTCATTAATAAACTTCTTGATCCAGACCATACAACCTTTGCTACTTCTAAAGCAATAGTGTATAAGGTTTCCGCTATTGAATCAACGGCTATTTCCTGTTTGGAACCTGGGTCAAGATTTTATATGTGTAGTTGGGATGAGTTAAACAACCTTCTAGATCTATTTCTATATATTAAGTTACTTCTCCCATATTTTTCATGGAGATATTATTTGATAACTATGATTTCAATAATTGAAATATAGGAATGTCGTTTCCTATTAATATGTTATGTACATATAATATTATGAATGCGAAAACGCTTCCACTATCTTCTTGTAAACACACGGGTCTTCTTCATTTTTGATAAAATCAAACATTTTATTTGTCTCATCAAAGCGAAGATTTCAACTCCTAGAGACTTGCTTTAATCCATAAATAGATAGATCAAGTTTACATACCTTGTTGGCTTTTTTGGATTAAAAACTTTCAGGTTGTGTCATGTACACTTCCTCTTACAAGTTCTTATTAAGGAATGTAGTTTTGACATCATTTTGACATTACTCATAGTCATGATATGTAGCTGTTCCAAGCAAAATCTAATTGGATTTTAGCATGGCTATAGGCTAGAAGATTTCATTAAAGTCAACTATTTGTCTTTGTTTATAACCTTTTTACTATTATTCTTGCTTTGTATGAATGGATGTTTCCATCCATGTCGACTTTTTTGTGTAAACTCATTTACAATCTATAGGTTTTATCCCATCAGGTTGCTCGATTGTAGTGACCAAAATTTTTTATATCAAAATGATAGTTTTTCTCCAAATTTTTATAAGAAAGAAATTCGGTCGCTGCAAATTTTTCACAATTTATGTGCTTTAAGTGACCATGTAATTAGTACACTAACTAGTTAGTCCATGTTAGTTACTTGTTGCCTTTGAAATATTGTGTGATAAAATATGGTATTTTTAAGTTATGTTTTGTTGCTTAATCTTATTAGGGTTAGTAGTCACGTAAGTCGTAATTTAGTTAAGATTTATAGTTTTATTGGATGCACAATATCGCAAAATTTATCATTAAATTACTCAAGTTGCAAATATTAGTATATTGATATTTGGCTCGTTTGGTAGCTTATAATTAATCATGGAGATTAGGCTCAAGAATAAATTAAATTGGACAAGGACAATCAATTTAAAGTAAATAAAAGAAAACTATTATTTTTGAATTGTAGAGTAACTTCTTTCATTGTTACCGAATTTGGCTAATGTAATTAACATGTGTTTTGAAACTATTCCATTATCACTTTAATAAATTTTTCCATTTTTCCTAATCCTAATAAACCAGTTACGGGAAGAGTTTGAAATATTTTTTTGACCTATCTATTGATTGAATTTGTATACGAAATTTTAACTTTTAATTATCCTATGTGTAAAAGTCTACAGTTTAAATTTTATAAATTTTGGATTTCATTGAGTTGTCGAATGAAATTTATTTCAAAAAGCTGTACAAGTTGAAAATCTAAACTTTCCGAAAGAAAATATCTTTAAGTTTTTAACGGATTCTATGAAATCTTAATATTTTTAGTCCAAGTTAATTTCTGAATTTTATGAACAATTTAGGCAGAATATCACAAATTTAAGGTCTTAGTAATGTTACGAGTCCCAAGAGCTTGGGGTTTTACATCGCTCAAGGTTTAAACCTTGTTCATATATATCGAGTTCATTTCAAATTTCATGGCCTCTTGCCATCTCTTTAAGTCAACACTTGACTAGTAGGTTCGTCTTTAATTAGTACTGCTTGATTAGTAATCATAAATTGGTACTTTCTAGAAAGTCGAATGATTCTACAAGATTTACACGGAGTTGACCTGCCCACAAAAGTTTCTACTTTCTGATCAAGAATATGTTCCTTGGCATGTGTGGGATTAGACTTAGGTTTATCTACTTGGTCAACTTTTTCTTGGAATTCTTGAACTTCTTCAAGATCTATTCTACTTCTATTGTCATCTTCTAGAATAAATTCTTTCTCTAGGAAGACAATATGTCGTAATATAAAGACTTTATTCTTAATGAGATTATAGAATTGATATCTAAACATCTATTTTGGATATCTCACAATTATGTATTTATCGGATATAGACTCAAGCTTATCCACTTCGATGTGCTTCACATAAGCATTATAACCACAAACGTTCATATGAAATAAATCAGGGCTACTATCTTTCCATAACTCATATAGGGTTTTGTCAATCAATTTAGACGGAACACAATTTAGTGTGTAGCAATTGGCAATCAGTGCATGACCACGAAACAATTTTGGGAAGTTTGCATAGCTTGTTATTAATCGCATTATATCTAATAGTGTGTGATTCCTCTATTTAGATACACCATTATGCTGCGATGTATGTGACGGAGTCCATTACGAGAGAATTATATTCTCTTTTAGATAATCTAAAATTTTCCTTTTAGATATTTCTTACCTTGATCTGACCTTAGCATAGAATACCTTTATCAGTTTGTTTCTCTACTTGAATTTCTTGATCTTAACTTAGAAAACCTTTATATGTTTGTTTCTCTACTTGAATTTTTTGATCTTTTCAAGTGCTTCATGATTGAACTTCATCAGATATACGTAACCATATACTAATTTTGATATTAGGTTTAACAGTCTTACGTATGTTCAGCAACTCAATGAGTGTGTGCTTAAGTTTATTTATATCAAAATTCATAATTAGCTATGAATAATTCTTCGGCAGAGATTGCAAAACTAAGTCAATACTTAGTTCATGGTTTATGAATGAACCAAATTGAGACAACTCCTAAATTCCAATCATTTTCAGTACATGAGCACTCACTGTTGGCATCTAGTATGCCTCTCAAATACATATGGATACTTATGATTCAATAAAAATAAATGGCAAAAAGTAAAATAATAATACATAAAATGTATCGATTAATTTAACATGATCTTTTATTAAATTAATTATGCTCTCACTATTTAACTCAAATTTATGACATTTTCACATAAATTTATGGAATCTATACTTGACTTTCAGTGAGTTGGGATCCCATTTGTTATATAAATACTTTGAATGTATTCAACAAGCATT